TGAATTTTAAATAAATATATTTTCATTTCATTCAAACATTGGATTTCATGTAAAAGTCTATTGTTTTCAACCAATAATTCATCCAAAATATCATTAATACTAATAATTAATGACTTTTTATTACTCTTTGATTTCATATTTCACTTCAAATCACATTTAAAACTAATTCACAATTAATTTGAACACAAATTCAGTCAAAAACTAATGAATAATTTTGTGGCAAAAAATGTAAACAAAATGTGAAAACATATGAGAATTGAATGAAAAGTAAACAAAAGTAGAGTTTGTTTGACACGAATGCCAGTCATATAACGTGTGAACAAATTCTTGAATTAAAGCATTAAATCTGTTATGACTTGTGTTAACTCAAATACAGTGACACTAATTATGCACACAATTAACACATAATTAGTTTTGAAAAAATAATTCAATTATAGTATTGGTATTTAAACACAATTTTAGTATTTATCGTCTAATTTATTCATCCTTTCAATGGATATAAAAGTTATAAATCTTTATCAAAACGTTGGAATCAATTGTGGATCTAATAAAGTGATGCTTAAATCTATGTCACAAATGAGAAAACAATAAATTCAGTAATTGTATACAATTGTAATTATTTTTATTAACAAAACATAAAAATATTAATTATAAAATAATACATTGGAATAAAAATAATAAAATGTTTAAATAAATTTAAATAATAATTTACTAATGAATTAGCATTTAAATAATCAAATAATTTATATTACTAGTTGTTAACTTTATACATAAAAAATAACCAATAATTTATAGCAAACTTATAAATTGAGAATTGTTTCAAACTTTATCAGGAAATACATATTTTTGTATTATTTTTATGGACAAAATTTACATTATTTTTTATGTTTGCGGTTAATATGTTTCTTAACACTAGTCCTAACATAAGCCCGAAAGTCACATCCGGGCCAATGGCATGAGTGGGGCTTCACGTTGTTGTGTATATTCATGTGGTCTTCGAAATTGACTCTCGCCTTAAATTTCATGCCACAGTCGGGCCAAAGACACGGCCACTGTTTGATGCCTAAGTGATCGCGTTTGTGGTCCTGTATATTCTCGCCCATCCATTCACATCCGGGCCAATCGCACCGATACTTGCGTCGGGTATTGGGAATCCTATTATGCGCTTCGATCTGATGTCTGATCCGTTTGCCGCGCGTGAAGAACATGTGATCGCAACCATCGGTTCCGCACCGGAAGGTGGGCTCCGCTTTATGTGTCAGCAAATGTTGTTCGTAAGCATTTTTGCTGCCATATGTCTTGTGGGCCACTCGACAGCCCGCGTAATGGCATCTCAACGGCTGGTCCGTCGAGTGCCGGTCAGTCACGTGTAATCTCAAAGCGGCCGCACTTCTGCACGAGTGTTGACACTCGGAGTAATCGCATTTAAACGACTTCTCGTCTGAATGTGTGGCCAAATGTCTGGTCATTATCCACATAGCGGTGAAGTGTTTGTCGCACCCGTCGTGCGTGCATTTGATCCGCCGGTGGGTATGTTTTTGATACAAATGTTTGTACATTGCGTACGGTTTGGCCGTAAACTTCTGACAACCAGTTTCCGGACATTTATACGAATTGGTGGCCAAATCGCGACACTTCTCGATGTTCTCGCGGCACAGATTCAAACCCGATGTCGTCGTTAGTATGGTTTTGAAGGGCACCATAGATGTGGTCCTCTGAGTCCTCTTCGGTCTGTCCTTTGAGTGGACAATCAAATGTGCGCTCAATTTAGAGGGTTTAATGAAGCGTTTGTCGCACCCCTCGTGCGTGCATTTGATCCGCCGTTCGGTGTGAACGCTATACATGTGACAGAAGAGTAAGTATTGTTTGGCCGAAGAGAACAGACAACCCGTTTCCGGACATTTGTATGAATTGGTGGACAAATCCAAACACTTCTTGATGTTATCGCGACACAGATTAAGACCAGACGTCGTCGACAATATGGTAGTCAATGGGACGACACATTTCTTCTTCTGAGTCCTCTTCGGTTTGACATCGCTTTCAATCGTGTAATCGTTGTCTCCGTTCGAGTCATCGGTGGTTATCGTCTCTGTCTTTAATGTCTTATCTTTTAATGGTTTCGATAGAGATATCGATTGTTTTGTTTTCGCTTTTGTGGACACTTTTGGCTGTCTTTTAGTGTATTTGCGTTTATTTTTGGCCAAAGTTCTAATAGATTTGACATAACTTTCATCCGAGTCTTCACTAATGGTGTCTTCATTTGATTCAATCACTTCTTGAGTTTTCAATCGTTTTTGTCTTGATTTTTGGTCATTTAATGAACTCTTGAGTCCACTATCAGATCCAGTGCTAATATGACTGTCATTTGTGGTAATCTTCTGGTCATTCAATTGATCCAAACTTTGAGATAATGTCCGGAAGTGTTGATTGTCTTCTGAATCGATAAGTGTTTCATATTTTGAATGAATTTTAATTAAATGTGTTTTCAATTCATTCAAACATTTGTTAGAAAACAATAACTCATTTAAAAGTCGTTTGTTTTCAACCATTAATTCATCCAAAATATCATTAATACTAATAATTAATGACTTTTTATTACTCTTTGATTTCATATTTCACTTCAAACAATATTTAAAACTAATTCACAATTAATTTAATTATAAATTAAGTCTTAAAGTAAACTACAATTTATTGTCAAAAAAGTAAACAAAATGTAAAAAACAGTGAGAATTGAATGAATAGTCAATAATTACGTTCACTTTGAAAGTTAATAAAACTTATGATAAATACAAAGTTTAAATATTTTAGTTAAAAATAATTTAATTTAATCGTAAATAATATTCAAAAATATCTATAAAATCATAAGTAATTATAATTACAATTAAAAATTGAGTTTATATTTTGTGGACTTGTTTTCTATGCTTAACAACATTAGAAGCACTGGCGGTCGTGTACTCACATCCGGGCCATTGACAGGCATATGGCTTAACACAGTTGTGGACATTCAGGTGCTCTTTGAGTCTAGTAGTGCTGCTGAACTGTTTGCCACAATCGGGCCAATCACAGGCGTATGGTTTCACACCGGTATGATTGCGCTCGTGTTTGGTCAGACCGGTTCCCCTCCAATCACATCCGGGCCATTGGCACCGACGCTTACGCGGCACATAAATCTTCCGCCGCTGTTTATGAACCATCATCTGATGTTTGGTCCGATGGTGTGATTTGTGAAATATTTCTTTACAGCCGCCGAAACAGCACTTAAACGTCGGTTCAGTTCTGTGTGACCGCCGGTGGTAATCGAGACCAGAGTATGTCTTATATGTGTTCTGACAGCCGCTGGCATCACATCTAAACCGTCTGTCCGTCGAGTGTCTCATCACATGCGCCGCCAAATACTTTTCACTGACGCATCGATACTGACAGCCATTATAATCACATTTAAACGATTTAATTGTTCTGTGAGTTATTAAATGTTGAGTTAAGAGTGAGTTATAGGCAAATGCTTTACCACAGCCCTCGTGTGGACACACACATGGTTTTTCGCTATGAGTGGCTCTCAAGTGTTTACTAAATTGTGTGTCACTTCTGAATCTCTTGTGGCACTCATTGATGGGACAAATGTATGATTTAGTGCTCATTTCTAAACATTGCTGTCTTTGGGCAAAATTGAGCGGACATTTTGACACACGTGAACTCATGTCGCTGACCACCGGTAGATGTGTCCTAATGTGGTCACTAAGATTGGTCTGCGTGGGAAAGGCTTCACCGCAACCGTCGTATTGACAGACATACGATCCCTCGCAATGAGACTCCGTTAAGTGTGTCATAAACTTACGGTCCGTTTCGTAACTCTTGTGGCACATATTTATGGGACAAATAAATGCATTGATTGTCAGATCATAACAATTATCTCTTATATATTTATTATGGCATATATTTAGAGGATATCTGCTTTTCCAGTCATTTGTTGTCATCTCTACCGCCGAGTCTTCACTACTGTTATCAATGTCTTCATTCATGTCTTCGTTAAACACAGTTTGCGATGATATTTGAAACGTCGATGACTTTGATTGTGTTGATTGTATGGACTCGTGATTGACTTGATTTGTGTTAATAGTTTGATCGCAACTTTTATTTACATAAATAAGTCGTTTCCTGTGAACTGATGCCAAGTGTCGGCGTAACTCATCATGAGTTTTGAAACT